AAATTGCTGTAACTTTTTTTTGCTATGGAAAATTTTGTATTTCTATGAAGACATTTCCAAAGCGCCTTTTACGTAGAATTTAATGGTTTAAGTATAATTTTTTAAAATTAATAATTTAAGAGTTATCAACAGAAAAATTGATTTTTATTTGGGACACCCTCTATATTTTTTAATTAACTGAAAAGAATTTAAAATTACCTTTCAAAAATATAGCACATTTGATATTTTGTTATAATCCCCTTCGAAATACAGAATGTTTAAAAGTTCGCCACTTTTAACTAGTAGGCTTTGGACCCCTTATTGATGATATGACCTTAATGGAACCGGAAAACATATTTTTCCAGCAAGACGACGCACCGCCTCTGAATGCTGAAGTTACCAGAAAATTTTGCAGCCAATTTCAAGAATAATTGAATAACTAACCAAGATCCCAGCCGTTGGCCGTCGAAGCCGCCTGACTTAGTGCCCATGGATCTAATCATATGGATATATTTGCGGAAGAATAAAGGTTCATTATTCTTTCGTATAATCTAGACAAGAATTAGAAATACTTAAAAGTTATGAGAGGGTATCTTTCACCCCTACTGAGTTAATGAATTCCGCGAGAAATGTTCAAAAACTACCCCGTGTGTCCATAACAGAAGACGGTCGATATGTCGAACACCTGTAGAATGTAGAATGTTTAGGAGGGGAGTTAGTCACCGCGACCTTAAAGATCTATTGTGTGTTCCCCTTTCTTGAGCTATAACGAGTTATAACTCATCATACAGTCTCAAGGCTTTAACAAAAGCCAGTATCTGAGACGGCTCCAGAGAGGCCATCCTCAATTAAAGCCACAATACGTTACAGATAATGGCATTTTTTTAATTTGACAAAATTCGGGCAAAAAACTTCGTCTTATTGTTGTGCCCCGTATATGCTCAAAATAAATTCGGAATAAAAATTTCTGACGTAGCATCCGTTAAAAAAGAATTAATTTACAATTTAAAAGAAAAATCATCAAAATCTAATGAGTGGTTCGCGAGAAATCCAACTTTGAAATTGGGACAAGTTTTTAGTGGCCGGTTTTTTTTGCCGGTGAGTGTATATTCTTCTACTATTTTTAGTGTTGTGTTGTTTATTAGAATGTATTTTCTGTCTACCAGTTCATTGTACAGGGTGGGTCAAATTCGACGATTTTAAATGGAAACACTCTTTTCTATAGGAGATAGACGAAAACTAATATTGGTGTCTGGAGCTCAATTTTCATCAAAAACATGATGGTGAAAACCGCACATCAATATCTGTTACCGTTTCGGAGTTACGGGGTGTTTTTCAAAAATGTGCATTTTTAACAAATTGCTGTAACTTTTTTGCTATGGAAAATTTTGTATTTCTATGAAGACATTTCCAAAGCGCCTTTTACGTAGAATTTAATGGTTTTAAGTATAATTTTTTAAAATTAATAATTTAAGAGTTATCAACAGAAAAATTGATTTTTTATTTGGGACACCCTCTATATTTTTAATTAACTGAAAAGAATTTAAAATTACCTTTCCAAAAATATAGCACATTTGATATTTTGTTATAATCCCCTTCGAAATACAGAATGTTTAAAAGTTCGCCACTTTTAACTAGTAGGCTTTGGACCCCTTATTGATGATATGACCTTAATGGAACCGGAAAACATATTTTTCCAGCAAGACGACGCACCGCCTCTGAATGCTGAAGTTACCAGAAAATTTTTGCAGCCAATTTCAAGAATAATTGAATAACTAACCAAGATCCCAGCCGTTGGCCGTCGAAGCCGCCTGACTTAGTGCCCATGGATCTAATCATATGGATATATTTGCGGAAGAATAAAGGTTCATTATTCTTTCGTATAATCTAGACAAGAATTAGAAATACTTAAAAGTTATGAGAGGGTATCTTTCACCCCTACTGAGTTAATGAATTCCGCGAGAAATGTTCAAAAACTACCCCGTGTGTCCATAACAGAAGACGGTCGATATGTCGAACACCTGTAGAATGTAGAATGTTTAGGAGGGGAGTTAGTCACCGCGACCTTAAAGATCTATTGTGTGTTCCCCTTTCTTGAGCTATAACGAGTTATAACTCATCATACAGTCTCAAGGCTTTAACAAAAGCCAGTATCTGAGACGGCTCCAGAGAGGCCAGCTCTCCATCCTTGACATCAGCCGTACCAAAGTTCATGGCACGGATGGTCGTCGTCTCGGCGCACTCAGTGATGAGGTGTTCTGGTGTTTCTCCATATTCCCCACAGAATCTGCATTCGCCGTTGTTTCTCAGCTTCAGCCTACTGAGGTGTCTTCAGCCTACTGAGGTGTCTTCAGCCTACTGAGGTGTTTCAGCTTACTGAGGTGTAGCAAAACACCTGTAGCAAAATCTCATGTCTTGGTTTGCTACTTGTTTTTATTGTTATTAGATATAGTTTAAATGTGTTGATGTTGGTTAAATATATTTTAAATTGTTATAAAATTGTGCATCTGCCATAACAAATATTATTTTCGTTTTAATTGATGCTCACAGCTAGATTTTTTTTGCATTACAGCCGGTGCCGTTCAAAGCCTACTTGTTTATAGCGGGCCGTATTTTTATATACTCTATATCTCGAAGAGGAATCGAGCAAAATATCAAGTGTGTTATATTTTTGGAAAGGTAATTTTAAATAATTTTCAATAAATTAAAAATATACAGGGTGTCCCATATAAAAAACGAAATTTTCTGTTGATAATTCTTAAATTATTAATTTAAAAAAAAATATACTTAAACCATTAAATTCTACGTAAAAAGATGCTTTGGAAATGTTTTCATAAAAATACAAAATTTTCTATAGCAAAAAAGTTACAGCGATTTGTTAAAAATTCGTATTTTTAAAAAAACACCCCGTAACTCCGAGACAGTAACAGATATCGATATGCGGTTTTCACCATCATGTTTCTGACCAAAATTGAGCTCCAGACACCGATATTGGTTTTTGTCTATCTCCTATAGAAAAGGGTGTTTCCATTTAAAAGCGTCGAATTTGACCCACCCTGTACATTACTTTAGTTTTTGCTAAATTTATTTGAGGCTTACCTTATCGCTGGCTGTATTTAGTTCGTTAATTTGTGCTTGTAGCTCCTCGTTGGTATGATAGATAAATGGACTTACACACATTTAAAAATATACGGAAAGGAATTTAAAGATTTTTTTTATACATAGCTTTGATAATCTGTAATAAACATTTTTTTGTTAAAATGGATATGGCAAACAAATGTTTATCGTTCAGACCCAATATTATTACAAATTCTTCTTGCACATTTTGATTTGTGGTCTCTTGGGTTTCAGAAGGAATTTGACCATTATTTTGGCCTTAAAATGCCTAGAAACATTATTTCAAATTTTAATAGAGCCAGAATAGTAACACTGTCTTAACAGGGCTACCGGCAAGTTGCAATAGCTGAAATTGTAGGAGTTAACCAAAGCGATGTTTCGCGAATATTAAAAAAATCAGGGAGACAAACGAGGTAACAGACTGGCCTGGAAGAGGTAAAAAGAGAGGTACTACTGCTGTGCAAGACCGTCAAATATCCCTAATTGCACGACGCAATCCCCTGCTTTCTAGAACTGCTATTAAAAATGAGTTAGCTCGCCTTGAAGGACTAAATGTTTCAAGAAAGACCATAACAAGAAGACTCCATGACAGAGGATTACATTTAAGGAGGCTTCTACGTGTTCCGAAGCTTAATTTACAGCACAAAATTACGCGACTACAATGGGCTAAGGAGATGGGAACAAATGGACCTAATAATAATGAATTTCGTCATGTTTAGTGATGAAACAAGAATAGGCCTAGTGTCAGAGTCGCGACGAATTTTGGTCTGGAGAGCATCTGGAAGACGGGAACGCTTGAATGCAGCTCAACCCAGTGTCTCGTTTCAAGGGGGATTCATTATGGTATGGGCAGGTATAATGCACGGAGCTCAAACTCCTCTAGTTTTTATTGATGGCACAAGAACAGGCGCCTATCTTAGAGACGTTTTAGAGCGTATTGTGTGTCCATTTCGAGGGGCAGTGAGGGATGAATTTGTTTACATAGCGGTTCGCGAATTTTGTGAGGAAGAAGGTATAAGAAAACTGTGGTGGCCACCGATGTCTCTAGATATGAATGTGATCGAGCACGCTTGGGACATGCTAAAACGCCATATTTCCAAAAGGAAAGATCCCCCCCGTACCTTAAATGAATTGAAAATTGCTGCGCGCGAAGCATGGAAAGCCATTCCTCAACATCTTCTGGACAACTTAATTGAGAGCATGCCACGTCGTCTCCCAGCTTGCATTGAGTCTCGAGGAGGCAATACAGACTATTAGTTGTGAGAAATAATTAAAATTGTTTTCAATATTTTCTGTTTAAAATGAAATTTGTTTTTGTTGATTTTCACTCATTGTGAAATAAAATTATAATAACAGCCTAGTTGCACTTAGATTTTTAATTTTATATTAGTTAGTCGCGTAGTAAGCCAATATGTCCAAAAATATAAAAAGAATCGTATTAGGTCGAAAATAAAATAAAAATATCGTTATATGCAATAATTCTGGCCATTTGTGTATATCTTTGGGAGCTACAGAATGCTTATTCATTAGTTCAACCCATTACCATCAAATATTTCGGGAACGTTCAGGAACGGCGTTGGAATCAGAGTGCCAAAATGTCTTAAGATTTTTTTTAATAAACGTTTTACAAGCTTTTTGAAAAAAATATGTTATTACTTTTATTCTTAAAAAATAATTTTATGACTCTAAATAAAAATCAAATTACTGTAAAGCACATCACATCTAATTTCTAAATATAATTACAGAAATTTATACGGGAAAATTTAGGATGATTAATGATTTATTGTTTTTAATAAAATACCAATTTTTGGAGAAAATACACCAACTTCAATCAAGTCTGATTAAATTCATACCACGTTGACACCACCTGATAGGTAAAATACAGAAAATTCTAATCAGGCTTGTCAAACTTTTGACGTGGGAATAAGTTTGAGATGAATGTCGAACCGTTACCGAAAAAATATCGAAGAAAGAAGAAAAAGACGAAAGACGACTACTTGTTTTTACTTAAAGCATTTATTGCAGGTTTTACATTATTCGGAGGAGCAATTTTAGCACTGGTAATAAATGTTGTTTGGTAAGTTAAAATATTTAAAACTAAGTTCGATAAAATTAGTGAAATGAATATTTTAGGAAAAATAAATGTCTATATATTCCGCAAGAGATTCAAGGTGGATCATCTACTACGGTAGCAGATAGAGGCGCTTTCAGCCACGGCGCCTTAGTAGCAACTACTAAAGCGCAATGTGCAAACCCACCATGTATTTCAACAACAGCTGCTACACAAATCAAAACAACGAACGTATTAAAAGTTGATTAGTTTAAAGTTACATGACCTACACTTTTAGATCTACACGTTATATTTTTGTTATTTACCAATATTGGATTGAAAAATATTTAAGCAGCTTGTTTTGTAATTTTCGTAATTATATAATTTTGTGATGCAAATTGCAAAGAATATATTTAAATTATAGAAGTTCTTTCAAAGCAAAGTAGTGCATCTTATTTCATCATAAAGACTTTTAAAAATTTAAGTTCTCGATTCGTTGAAGGACTATTAGATTACTATTAAATTTAAAAATATTTTTACAAGATACATAGTGTCCCAAATAAGTAAAAAATATTATAGTTTTATTTTTTTAAATGGAACATCCAGTATATTATTCTATTTTTGGATCTCTTACCGTTTGTGAAATATTTTCTGTTTTGTGAAATTGCAATAAAAAATTTAGGGCTTCGCTTCTCCAAGGATATCAAAGTTTTTAATATTAAATATTTACTGAAGATTATTTATTGATCAGATATTGTGTTGCAATAATAAAAATTATACTACCTCATACAGAGTGTCCAAAAATTTATATTAAATAATTATTAGCTTAAAGCGGCAATAACTTGTTTAATTTAAATGTGTAATAGAATAATATCGAGCTTGGTAAAATTTTATCTTTTGGTTTGTTATTCTAAGATGGGACCATTTCAGTTTACGAAGTTATCAGTCGACATAGGCAAACGAATTTTAAAAGGCCTAAGCAAATAATCTAATGATATTCAAGACACATAAACTCTCTAAAAGTACGCATATATCCTGAGAAACTAACTAAGCAAATAATACAATCTTCTAAATAATTTAAAGTCACATAAACGAGGGTAAAGTAGAACAAACATTCATCACTTATTATCAAAACTCTATTTGACAGAGTGGTACCATTTGTGGGATATATCAAAATAAACAACGCAGAAAAAGCACGTAGGCATGCTTAAGGAAATAAGTAAAATTAAATCATCCCCTCGCTAGAGGTTTTACATTGAAAATTAAAAGTATTAAATATATGTGTTAAAATCAGAATCCAAATGTTCACGAGATGAATGTCTGAAAATGATAAAAATAGGATTATCTGTTTTTCCGTTCCTAGAGTTAAATAGAAATAGACAAAAATATGAAGAAATAAAGAGTTCATTTCTAGGCGTTTTTTTTAAGGTAATCCTATGGCACGATATCATTTGTATTAGTTAAGGCTTAGATTATGAATATTATTCAGCAAATTGGTAAAAGAGAAAGATTTACACGGAAGGGTTTAAATTGGTAAAAGAGGAAGATTTACACGGAAGGGTTTAAAAATTACATTTAATTAATAAATAGGACATGCTGATGCCCTCTCGGGATAAGGACCAGAGACAGGGGTGAAAGAAGTCTAGGCATCTTTCGGGGAAGGAACTCTTCGGCCAATTAAAAAGGTGCAAAATATGCATTTGGATGGGTATTCGAAGGTTCCTCAAACAGGAGCGTGCCGAAGATGTAGTAACGCCTTTCCGAGATAGTACAAGCATCAGTATTTTCGTCTTCAAAATTAGTTCGGTACTGACTTTTAAATTGGACGGTCGAATTTACTCCGTGTAGATATTATCCAGTGGTCTTTTTAATTGTTTTAGTAAGTTCTCTATCTAAAGATTTTCTCAAATAAATTCTCAAGTTAGGAAATTCTAAACTATTCATGCTTAAAGTATTTTAATTGTTATTTTTGGATTTTTTCTAATATTTTTCTTTATTAATGATTTAAGACTTTCTGTTTGTTCTAAAGGCTTTAGTAAAATTTAGATGTCATTGCATAAGTGATTATTTTGCAATTGTTCTTTTTATTAAATTCTAATTTAAATTTAATTGTTCAGTGAATATTTTTTTAACATATTAATTTTCTGCCAACGATAATTCTAAGAGAGATTTGAAAGTGTATGCAAATGTAGATAATTTAAATTAGACTAATAAGAAGAATATTTTTTTTTTTTAACTTTATTATATCTGAGTTTTAATTTCAATTCTCAAATTGTCATTAATTATTTTTGATTCAATTTCTTTCTTTTTCATTAATTATAAATGTTTTGTTGTTAAATCTTTTTCTTTATTTTTTTATTTATTTATTTATTTATTTATTTATATTAAATATAGTTAGGTGTTGTGAAAAATCGGCATTTTATTTCTTTATTTCACCTAATCACTAAAATATTAAGTTATTTAAAAGAACACTGTGATAACCGGTCGAGTGGTTCAATCCAAAGTATGAGTCCAAGACCGAAGAGGTAGATCTACAAGGGGATCAATGAAATCTTCGACAGGTTCTTGTTGTTGATGTATTGCTGATGGATGTTGACGTAATAAGGTAAGTGGCAATAGAGTTTATAGTAACTGAATTTAGAAAGAGCCCTTACCATAAAAGTGCGATACCTTAATTTCTATTTTTAGCTGGTTATATTTTGTTTTTTATATATAAACGATAAACTATATTTACGCTCTGAAAAGACGGTGCTCTCATTAATCCAAGTTCTGCCTACCGCTAAATTATTTTAATTATAATAATTATATAAAGGCCACACTACCATGACTTAATGTCTTAACGTTTAATGAATATCCGCATTTGGCTTTCAAGAAACGTAGATTGCTATGTCAAAATTTACAATAGTTGTCAGTTTATATGACACAATAGCTTTTCATTTAATTCAGTTAACTGTTAATATAATTAAAAAGTATATTAATTTTTAAATATACAGTAGGTTGTGAATGTAAAATGAATTTTAACAAAGATGAACTTGTTGATATGATATTTTTGTTGGGCGAAAGCGAAAAAAATTGTTTACTAGCAAGTAAGCTGTATGCTTGTCGGTATCCTGAAAGAAGGCATCCTGAAGAGGTTAGTTTTAGAGAGAGAGAGAGAGAGAAGACTCTTTGAAAGATTTACTGATACTGGAAGCGTGATCTATAAAAAAGAGGAACGAACGAAGCACGTCACCAACGAAGAAAATCAGTTAAATATACTTTTAACTGTAGAGGAAAATCCAAATTCGTCTCAAAAAGAAATCAGCGCAGCAACTGGCGTAAATGAAAGGACGGTTCGGAGAATATTAAAAAAATATCGTTACCATCCTTACCATTACCAACGCCATCAGAGCCTAACAGAAAACGATTTTCAAAATAGAATGGAATTTTGTAATTGGGCAAGATTTAAAGTACAAGAAAATGCTAATTTTTTTACGGAAGTTTTCTTTACCGATGAGGCCACATTTCACAAAACTGGATGCGTAAATAAGCATAATTTTCATTATTATGCTACTGAAAATCCACGACTAATTAGGCAAGTGGATTATCAGCACTCATGGTCATTAAATGTCTGGGGTGGAATTATTGGTGAACTAATAATAGGTCCATATTTTTTTGATAACCATCTCACCGGCGAAATTTACTTAAATTTTCTAAGAAACGAATTTCCACGGTTAATTTTGAATATTCCTAGACATATCAGAGACAGAATGTGGCTGCAACAAGATGGTGCGCCACCACATTAAGCTCTAGAAGTACGTGACCACCTTGATAATGTTTTTCCGAGACGATGGATAGGAAGAGGCGGACCAGTCGGCTGGCCAGCCAGATCCCCCGATTTGACCAAATTAGATTTTTTTTGTGGGGATATGTAAAAGAAATTGTGTGTATAAGGAATTGCCTACAACTAAAGAAAATATGCGACAAAGAATTACAGATGCGTTTACCCGCATTACACCTGCAATTTTGCGAAATGTTGACATATCTTTTAGAAATATTATAGAAACGTGTTTAAACCAAGGTGGAAGACATTTTGAACATTTATTATAAACAATTACGTTTTTTTGGTAGTTTAAGGTAGTAGTGTAAAGTATATTAGGTTTTTTTTATTGAATACTTTTTTCTATTATTGTTATTTTTCTACTAGAAGGCAGCAAATTGAGAACTTACTAAAAAAATGTTAAGGTAATATTTTCATCAACGCAACCTACATCTGCTGAAAGCCTAAAGTGAATATTTATTAAAGCATTTTTGTCCTTTGGCCTATAAGCCTTTTAATGTTTTGATATTTAAGGATTTATTTCTGACACTAAACCTACTTGAAAGTTAGATTACAATATAATTATACTGTAATACTTATTTTTCAAAGCCAACTAATGATTTTTTTCTTGTATCTTAGCGATGTAAGAGCCATATGTAATAATACATCAAATATCTGCGAAACCGTTAAAAATTTTAAAATACAGTAAATACAAAAAATGTTCACTTTCGAATTCTCCATCCAACAAAAAAATAATATACAGGGTGTTCCATTTAAAAAAACGAAGGAAAATTATTTTATATTTTAGAAAGTCTGAAATAGAATTGCGAACACCCTGTATAGTTTAAGATTACGATATTTATAATAAAGTTAGTACAGATCAACTATAGTAAGTACCTGGAGTATTTTTGATTTCAGGACAGTTTTTGTATTTTTAATAAATTTTATAAAAAAGGCTGAAAAATATATTTTTTTCATTTATTTATTAATATCGCTGAAACTATCCAAACAAACTTAATAATATCTTACGATTATGTAAAGTGATCAGAAATGAAGCCAAAAATGCAATAATATACAGGGTGTTCCATTTAAAAAAAATCATCCAAATCCATTCAAACTTTTTTGAGCTACCCTATAGAGGTTAATCTATTTTCCAGAAATACATCCTAGTACATACTATAGATTAGCACTTAAATGAAATTCCTAAGTTTTATATTCTACTAGCTACAGATGCCCGACGCAGTATTGCCGGACCGTGTATATCTTCCAAGGTATACCAATATGTAAATAAACAAGTAATCATATCTAATCATAAAAACACGAGCCTTTTAATTTTAAACTCAAGGCATTTAAAGCAGTCGAAATTAAAAACAAATCCTTCTATATAGGCTAACTTTTTTCAGAGCCAAAAGAATGATTCAGTAATAAACGTAAATCTAACCTTTCTATGTGCCAATAGGATATTCGTTACGAAAATCTAACAGCAAGTGGCTAATTTAATTGAACCCGCTATCTAAAAATAGCTTCTCACACAAACTGGCACTATTTTTTTATGCGAACATTAAACTTCGTTTCAGTTATCGCTTTTCCCGTTCAAAACAGCCGCTATTTCCCATAACTCCTACTTTTCACCGCTCGATCGA